ACGCTGAATTGGTTTCTACGCTCTACGACATTGCTTTCTTTCTTCCCAGGAGAGGAAGCTCTCTACATCGACCCGACACGTTTCTTTAATCGATTTCAGCTCTCTGAACTCCGCTTTTTCTCTTGGAGATCTTTTTTCCGCCTGTTCAGGAATTTCCTGTTGGAAATATTGGTAAGTTCTCCGGGATATAATACGAACTTTTATTAAACTTTTTTATTATTTTGTTCTGGTTTTGTTTTTCGCTTTAGATTAATAATGACTTTAATTCTTCTATTTTGTAGGTTTGATTTGTAAAGACGTTGATTTACTATAGATAATTACGTATACTGTATCGTCGATACCACTAAAATGAATATACATCCTTATACAAATTAATTGAAACAAAACGAACAATTCCGTTATTATTTGCTTTTTTCGTATTTTTCCAATGAAAAATGACACAGTGCCCATGTTAGTACTTCGTATTTCCATTCCACGAAGTCGTTCCTTGCAGATTGATCACAGGTTCTGGATTGGATTTAAATCAGGAGAGTTTCCAGGCCAATCTATAATACTTTGGTTTGCCCACTAGTAAGGCTTGCCAGTATGTTCGTGCGGCGTTACAATTTTTGTATGCTTCCTTAGAGTAACATCCATCACAGACAATGGCTGTAGGACAACTAATCGACAGACGAGACAATAGTGTCTGAGCTGGATAAAAATCTGATGTAATCACGGATGACGCAATATTTTTAAGGCAAAAAAAAATTCATAGTACACACCGAAAATAAATTCATATTACTGCACACCACTGCAGATGACCTAATCTGAGGAAAAAAAAGAAATTTATTATACCCTGTCACTGTAGTGGGTCTAAAAATGACCGTATGGTGAAAGAAAGGAAACTAAAGCTTTTGTTTCAATTAATTTCCACAAGAGTGTATATCGAAATTGTTGTGATGTCTCAGACATTGAGGTTCTTCCACGTAGTTATGGCTTATTTAGAATATATCCAAATTAGAGAAAGTCCATTTTGCCTATGTCAGACAAATATTTGTATCCTGAGTTTAATTCCGAATGGTGATAAATGTTGTGGTTTGAGACCAGAGGAAAGGCCAGACTTTTGCTATGCTTCAACATAGAAAATTCTAAACACTTCAAATACCTCGGTTTATAGATCAGTTATTACAAATTAAGCATTGGAGAAAAGGAATTGAATATAGAATAGGCTGCGTCAGACGTAGTTTTGCTCATTGCTACGAATGAATGGTTGAACGGGGGGGGGGGACTGTCAAGATAGGAAGATGTGGAGAGCCATGATCGCTCATGTCCTGAAAGGACGCGGCACATAGAAAATAGAAAAATGGTGTTTTAATGAAATACCATATTCTGTTAATCTCGCAGTCCTTGTAATTTCTGACTTTCGTGAAAGTTTTCAAATACATTCTTTCGTCGGCTGGCACTATAACATATCTGTAGACATTTTTAATTTCACGGGATTTTTACAATTATGTCTAAAGGATTTGCCATTTAAGTTTCAACCCGGAAATTACAAAGGATGTTATTATTATCATCCGGTGCAACGTTTTTGTTATTATTATTATTATTATTATTTGATTTTTGTTATATATTCCTGTCTTTCCGAGTCCCAACCAGAGACCTAATGTTAGAAATAGCATCATGATATTTTCATTTAGATAAAACCTTTCGTAAAGACAGAGTTGTAATTGTCTATATATCTAAGATGAGGTATTATGTACACTATTTACATTATTTACATTATTTGGACAATTGTCCTCCTCTTTGTCGCCAACGTTTCGGCCGTTGTACGCTCCGACCTTCTTCAGGTGGTTGGAATGTCGAACTGAACCCTTTATTTCGCTCACTGGGGTAGACTGTTCTAGTTCCACGTGCCATGTCTAATGGATGTCAGTTGTCAGTTATCTCCTGTAAAATCCCGCTTGAAAGTTCTCCACTGTCTTAACTAGGTATTGAACTCACACTCTTTTGGGTCCTGTCACTGGATCTAACAAACACCCTTATCCACTCAGAAAACAGTCTGCCTGCCTTATGTGAAGGGGTTATCAGAGAAAATACAAACGATCTGTGACCGAAACGTTGTGATAAACATGGCGACAAAGATGAGGACAATAGTCCGAATAATGTAAATAGTGAGTTCTAATTGTCAGTACATTTTTTCTTTTGTATTTTGTTAAGGCGTGGGCTACCAGTGATCAATTAGTCTATCGGAACTTTTTCCAATCAATTCGAGGGCTCCAACTACAACTGGGATTATTGATCATTTGCCACATTTTTGAGTAAGTATATTTTTATTATTATTATTATTCCTTTGATTTCTGGTGTATACTCATTTCTACATGGGTTTCAAGCAGAGATCTAAGGTCAGAAATGGCACCATGACATTTTGATTTACATAAAGACTTTCGAAAAGACTGAGTTGTACTTGTGAGTACATTTTTTGTATTTTGTTTAGGCGTGGACCACCATAAATTCCTTTCAATGAGTCTATCGGGACCTTTTCCAATCAATTCGAGGGCTCCAACTACAACTGAGATTATTGATCATTTGCCACATATTTGAGATTTCCATTTCAACATCCTTGTATTTTGACAATTTTTTAAAGATATTCAAAGATACATTACAATCTGAAGCGACTGCCATGTCAATAAAAAAATGACACTCTTTTTTGTGGTCTTTGACCACAATGTCTGGGCAATTAGCTTTGATTGTTCTATCTGTGTGTATTGTAAAGTCCCATAAAATTGTTATGGGTCCTCTGTCTGTAATCGGGTCTGGGTGATGCTCATACCAATTTTTTTGCAGTTTCATTCCTGTAAAAGTTGCAGATTCTCCAGTGCAAATATTGGCCCACTCTGTCATGCCGAGTTTTACATTCAGTGGGTGCCAATACCGTACAAGCAGATTCAAAATGTTCAATTGTCTCTGGATATTTAGCACAGAATCTGTATTTTGGGTAACACAATTATTTAGTATGTGTGGTTAGTAATTCCAGTTAGCAAGTGTATTATTATTATTATTATTATTATTATTATTATTATTATTCCTTTGATGTCTAGTCATTTCTTTCCGGGTCCCAACCATAGACCTAAGGTCAGAAATGTCAACATGACATTTTCCACTGAGTATTTTTTTTAAAAATAAACATCCAAAGATCACACACATTTTACATAGATAAAGCTCTTCGTAAGATTTGGGCTGTACTTGTGAGTACATTTTTGTATTTCTTTAAATCTTGGACTACCATGGAACCCTTCAATAAATCTATCGAAACATATTCCTGTCAAACCGACGGATCCAACTACAAATGGAAATGTTGATGTCATTACGTACTCCATTTTTTTGAGATTTTGATTTCAAGGTTCTTGTACTTTGATAATTTATTATTATTATTTTTATTTCCTTTGATTTCTGGCGTTTACAAATTTCTTTCCGGGTCCCGCCCAGGGACCTAAGGTTAGAAGTGGCAAAAAAATTACATAGAAAAAGCCCTTCGTAAAGTGTGGGCTGTACTTTTGAGAACAATATTATCATTATAATCATTATTTTTATTATTATTTTCTTTGATTTCTGGCGTTTACACATTTCTTTCCGGGTCCCGCCCAGGGACCTAAGGTTAGAAATGGCGTCATGACACTTTCCACTGACAAAAAAAAAAAAAAAAAAAAAACAATAAAAAAAAAAATTAAAAAAAAAGATTACATAGATAAAGCCCTTCGTAAGGTGTGGGCTGTACAATTTTCTGTATCTCCTTGAGGCATGGACTTCCAGGAATCCCTTCAATTAGTCTACTGGAATCTTTTCCAACCACTCCTAGGGCTCCAACCAGTCCTAGGGCTCCAACCAGTCCTAGGGCTCCAACCAGTCCTAGGGATTGTTGATGTTCCCATATGCCACATTTTCGCGATTTTTATTTCAAGGTCCTTGTACTTTGACAACTTTTTGAATATCTTCAAAGATACATTGCAGTCGGCAGGGACTGCCATATCAATAAGGAGGCACCGTTTTTGTTTGTGGTCTTTAATAACAATATTGGGCGGTTGGCCTTGATTGTTCTGTCAGTGTGTATTGTGTAGTCCCATAGAATTGTAACAGGTCCCATCTCCGTAACCGGGTCTGGGTGGTGTTCATACCAGTTTCTTTCAGTTTTCTTCCGTAGACGTTGCAGATTTTCCAGTGCAGATATTGGCCCACTCTGTCATGTCGGGTTTATATTCAGTGGGTGCCAAATACCGTGCAACCTGATACAAGGTGATCAACCGTTTCTGGATATTTATCACAGAATCTGCATTTTGGACTGACACAATATTTTAGTATATGTGCTTGATAATTCCTAGTTAGCAAGCATTGGTCCTGCGCAGCAAGGATAAAACCTTCAGTTTCCGCTTTCAACCCTGCACTACGTAGCCACTGATGGGTACGAGTTTTGTCTACGTCAGCTTGTTTGGTACGGGCAGAGTATTGGCCATGAAGCGGTTTATCTTGCCATCGCTTCTGTAACTGGTCTGTTGCATCTGTCTTAGCTATCTTTTTAGGTATTTTGCAGTTTCAGCCGGTGTATTGTGCTGTAGTTGCATCTCTACGCCCATTTGGAACTCCATTTTGAATTTGTTGGCTTCCTTCTTTACGGAGTAGAGACGCTTACTACTTTCATGTTCCTTATTATTATTATTATTATTATTATTATTATTATTATTATTATTTATTTTCTTTGATTTCTGGCTTTTACACATTCCTTTTCGGGTCCCGCCCAGGAATCTAAGGTTAGAAATGGCATTATGACACTTTCCACTGACAAAAAAAAAAAAAAAAAGAATTACATAGACAAAGCCCTTCGTAAAGTGTGGGCTGTACTTTTCAGAACAATTTTTGTATCTCTTTGAGGCATTGACTTCCAGGAATCCCTTCGATTAATCTACTGGAATCTTTTCCAACCAATCCTAGGACTCCAACTGCAACAGGGATTATTGATGTTCCCATGT